CACCTGCAAAATTTAAATTATATTTCTTTTTATTTTAAAATTCGAGAAATATTTAATTTGTTGCTTAGTTTACTGTGTAGATGGCGGCATTATCGTTATTCTCAAGTGTAAAATGTCAAATAAAATAAGTCAAGTTTTTGTTAACTTTCATAAAATGGTAAGAATACACGAAAGCAGTATAAAAAAAAAATGCAAAATAAAACAAAACCTGAAAAAAAAAGAAAAATTCGTAATTACGATCGTGTCGCTTAATTAATCTCTTCTCATGTTCACAGAAGAGAAGAAGTGATTTGTTCTTGTTATCTCTTTTTACTTCACTTATTCTTATTCGTTTCATGTTTTCATTTTTATCATAATTTTCTTTTTTACTTGTCTAAAGTTTTTACAATAAACATAAATGCATACCTATATGTTTTGCTAACTGTTAAAAGGATAATAAACTTCATCAGGATATTTTATTCTTTCATATAATTTTTTTATGTTTCGCATATAAGATTCTTGCTTTAAAACTATAATAACTGGTGTTAAGTTTCGAGAAAAATGGAAAAAGCGTCTTCAGGATCTTTTATGAGGACGAAATGCATTTGCAATGTTATTAAATTAAATATAGTTAGTTGTATTTTAGTGCATGTGTTTGTAATCTTGGTGAATTTATTAAATTTAGTTCCTAAAATTTTATTAAAATTATTTTTTGAAAAGATTTTTTATTAAGTTTTATGAATGGGACTTTTACATGTACACAAAATTCAGTAGAGATAGCAAAGTAGATATGTACATGGTGTTTCCCCTATAGTAGGTACATTAACATACAATTTTTGTAGATCTTCAGTAGTAAGGAAAGAAACTATTACACAATATGTCTCAATCGCAGTTGGTTTAGGAAATGGGGCTTATAAAGCAAAATGTTTTTTTTCTTTTGGTTGACTATATTGAACGTGGGCTATAATTTTGACTACGTCAGATGTAATTGCTCTTTAAGATATGTGCTAAAGAGATGGGAAAATATAGGTTCTTTAACAAGTACACAATAAATCTGATAGCACTTCAATTCATCGTTTTAAAGAGTCAAGTAAACCGTAGAATGTAAAAAGAAAAGAAATGGCTTTCTTATAAAAGTTATTCGTTTTTACAAGAAACTATCTTGGAACTCCTAATGCATTGAACATTAAATGCAATTAATTAATTACAAAAAAAGCACGTAATTTCATACTTAATTTGTGCTTACATTACTGAAGTTTAATTTCATTTTATCTTGCACAAATATTTTAGTAATAATTTTAATGAACAAGATAAAAATAAAGTAAACAATAAATTAAGAAAAAGAAAAATTTTTCACTCTATAATTACTCTTACATAACTGTTACTTTTATATACACATTATGTATATGTATGTATTGAATATGCGTGTTGATCTATGTTATGTGTACCAATGTTAAAAATTGTAATAATTATGATAAATTTAGCCTTTAGCAGGAAGAAATGGTGTCAATTATATTTACTGAGTAATAAAATGTACATAATAAAACTTCGAAGTTTGTGAAATGTGCATAACAAATGACTTGTACATATACATGTTACAATTGAACGGTCGTACTCTTTGTGAAGGATCAAGGCTTGAACAATTAGAAAATAAATTATTCTCAAAAAATCGAAATTAGAAAATCAAATAAAAAAAAATTATATTTTGATGATAAGTGAAAAGAGGTAAAATAATCATGGAGAGTCAGCTACATTAAATGTCAACACCATGATATATAGTAGAAAATATACCGGTGGTAAAAGCGCGGCCATAATTATTAGTAAAAAATTTATACCAACTTTGCAAATCGGATTATCCAAGCTCATTTCTGTAGTCAACTCTGATGCATCACTTCGATACCGGAAAAACGAGGCGATGAGGAGATGAAAGACAGCATCTACAACAAACTCACAACTTTAAGATTTATAAATATGTGTTCAGCGAAAAAATACATGATAGTAACCCAATTCGAACATAAGAAAACTTAAAAATTTCTGAAGATTCCCCGAACATCAGTAAAATAAAAAGAACCAAAGCAGGACTCAAACGTTACATGGCCGCAGGGAGTAACAGCAGAGATTCTGCAGACGCAGTTATATGACGGTGTTGTTAGCAACACATTTATCACGAGCTTGGAGTGAAGAAAAGATTACGCAGTCATGAAAAAGGCAATACAGAATTGCCTTTTCATGAACAATGGAGACATTACACTACTAAATATAGTATACAAGGTATTGGTAACAATTATCCAGAATTGCCTATAAGAAAAATAAAAGATACAATACGTGAATAACATGCTCGGTTCCGTCTGCATCGGTTCGATCAAGCGAACACACTTCGAATAATAGTCGAACAGTCAATAGAGTAAAGAGCACCACTATACATGCTCTTCATTAACTTCAAGAAGGCTGTAGACATAATTGAGCGCAATGGAAAGCACTAAAAGACAGGCAAATTCCAGACAAAATAATCTGCATTATTCGAGCGCTGTGAGAAGCCGAGCTTACGGTAATGTGTAGATGAAATATAAGTGAGTCATTTACCAACCCAATCAGGAGTCAAGCAGTGTTGTCCACTTCCACCGCTACTTTTTGCAATTGTGGTAGACGACATATTACAAGTCGCCCGCTCACCTTCTGTCTCTCTCCTACAAGATCAACGACATGCAGACGGTCGCCCTAAGAACACTTCGCGCAGATCAGTTGTAAAGATAATGTTTAATAAATGTTTATTAAAATAATTAAACTTGTAATATATAGAGAGGAGCAACAGCAGAGCAAAATACTTGCTTTACAGAGAGGAGAAGAACAATATTAAAAGAGTGTAAAAAGTTTAGTTTATGTTCAACTTTTATTAATCACTATTAATCGTGAGAAAAGAGAATATATTACATATTATATAAATGCTATAGTGAGAACAGGAGCTGTAGTTATATAGCTATTATTATTTGTATACATTAGAATTAAATTCATTATAATAGAACTAGAATTAATTAGAATTATTCAATTATAATTTTATTGTTTCACACATTTTAAATACCCATATATACTTATTTAATTTTAATGACCTACTAATTTAAGTTTGAACTTAAAGAAGACTTTATTTTCTGTGACTCTGTATTTTTTGAAAATGTGTTCACCTGTAATCAATAATATTTTTGTAAAAGTGATCAGTGTATTAAATCTCGTTTTTCTAATAAATTTTTATTTTTATTTTTTTTTCTTGTTCTTTTCTATTGTTTCCGTATTATTTTTCAATCCCTTTTTCTTTTGTTGCTTTTTTTTTACTTTCTTTTTCGACATAAAAAAAAATTTTCCTTTGATTTTTTTTTTTGTTTTCATTTTTCTTTTTATAATAATAATGTTGAAGGCGTGCTTTGAATAGATAATGTAGGACAATTTTTATATGTGTTTGTTGTCTCTTTTTTATTTTGATTATACTTAAGTCCATAACGGAGAAAGGTTAGGTTAGATACAGAAATGCGGGAGGAGGAAAAAAGAAATGAAAAATTCTTTAAAGTTCAATAAGAAAAATCAAAAAAAAAAAAAAAAAAATCGAATAAAATATTTTTTGGAAAAGATTTTTTTTTTTTTATCAGTTCGCAAAAGTTCGTGCGTGAATTATTTTTTGATTCTTGAAAAAAATCAAATGAATTCAACAGGAAAACTGAAAAATATCAATTGAAGGAAGAAGACGTAAATCATTGAATATAGGTGAGAGAAAAAAGAGAAATGAATGTTGAGATTTTCACTTAATAGATAGTTGAACGAAATACTCAAACGTTAGTACTCAAAATCAAAATACATACTTATTTGAATTTCAGATTTTCTTTCTATGTTTGAGACTTGATAAATAAAATTAAAATTTAAACTTCAATATGATATTAAAAATTTGACAAAATAAAAAGCAAAAGTGAAGTTTGGTAGTGACTTTTAAATGAAAATTTTACATGTATGACTTTAAGTGGAAACTGCTTTAAAAATTTATTAAGAATATTTTAATTTTGGTAAAATGTCAAATGCACACTTAAATTATTTTACAATTTTAAAAAATGTAATATAAAGAACTATTTTGTCAACTGTTATACCAAATTTTTAGATCTAAAATAAGGGTTTAGGTGTGGTCAATGATTCTGTAGTGCGACACGCAGTGATTTTATCGAATTGTTAAAATTTACTTACAAACGTTTAAGAATCCCGTCGAAAAAACCTTAAAAATTCTAAACAAGTGCAGAGTTTTATTAAATTTATAAGATTATGTGCTGGATTCAACTTTTCAATTTTATATTTTTCCATGATTTCCGCTCTTAGAAATCAATTATTTTTGGACAAGTGCGAATTAAAAGGAATTTTCTTTTCAATACTCTTTTTTTTTTTAAAGAGCGACAATGAAATTGAATACGGGTTTGACAAGCAACAAAAAAAAAATTTAAATTATGCAAAAAATTTTTTTTATCTTTTCATTTTTCATATTCACAATGAATAAATTTTTTTCCCTCTCATTTAATTTTCACAATTGTTATTTATTGTTTTGTGAAAAGTCATTAAAATTGTCCATTATTTTTTTACAATTAAAGTGATTTCAATTATTTTACTTAATTTAATTAGTTTTTTCAATTTATAAATTTTTTTTTTTTTTGAAAATTGAGAATTAGAAATTATAGTTAAAATTAATGAAGAGGGAATGAACAATGTTCATAGTGCTTTAATTATAGCCGCCTGTATGATAGTTCAGGGATAGAAAACATTACATGAATATTAGAATTGAACTACTTAAAATGTTAAAATGGTTAAAAAAATTCTCAATAATAGCGATATATTCACAATAATTCACGACAAATAATAGTGATAGTATAGGTAGTATTTTATGAATATTTCATTTATTTAATTTAATTAAAATATAATTATTTTATTTAATATTATTTAATTAAAATAAATTATTAATATAATATTTTTTTTTGTTATTTTTATATTTGATATAGGCTTATGAATTATCAACGTTAACTGGTACACAAGTAATGTTATTAGTAGCATCAGAAACTGGTCATGTTTATACATTTGCAACACGTAAATTACAACCGATGATAACATCAGAAGCTGGTAAACAATTAATTCAAACATGTTTAAATTCACCGGATCCACCGCCAACTGGTGGTACCGGTGATCAACGTATGTCAGCAACTGGATTTGAAGAAACAGAATTAAGTTATAATATAGCAGATGAAGATTCAAAAGTAAGACAATTAATATATAGTCATGGTCATCATGGACATGCTCATTTAGGTCATCCACAAGCACCAAGCCATTATGGTTTAGAACAAAGTTTAATGCAATCACCATATTCAGGTGGACAGCCATCACCTTTATCACATGCACAAGCATATGCACCACATGGTGGTCATACGCATCATTCTCATGTACCACATGTGCCACATTCAATGGCACATCATACACAACGGTAGAGAGAATTTTGTTTTTTTTTTTTTTTTTTATTTTTTTTTTAACTATATGCGTGTGTGTCTAATATATACGTATATATTTTACATATATATTTTTATTCATTCTAAAATTATTTTTTTTTTATTTAAAAGAGAGTTTTTTTTTTTTGTAATATTATTTGTTTTGTTGTTTTTTAATAAATGAAATAAAAATATATATGTATATATGTAATTATATATAATAGGGTGTATAATTAAATTATTATTCAGGAATGAATAAAATCAATTGTAGAAACTTTTTAAAAAACGAAAAATGTTTTGCTGTTTTTTTGTTTTTTTTTTTTTAATATTTAAAATATTTAGAAAAATTATTTCTCTACTTATTTGATTAGTTGATTTTTGTACATTCTTGAATGAGTCCAAAATATATACAATTTTTTAAGGCTGTCCAGTTTTAAATACGATTTTATATAAAATATAAAAAACAATTGAGTAAAATAGAAAAATAAATAAAAAATTGAATACGATTCGCATATATACGACAAATTAATTAGAAGAATTATTTTTTATAATAATTATAAATTTAATTTAATTAACAATAGTTTTAATATGAAGAATTTTCTTTTTTTATAAATAAATAAATGAGAATAATATAATTAAATAATATTTAATTCTAGTTATACAATAAATATGAATTAAATTTGCAAAAATATAAAAATATAAATTTAAAAAAAAAATTCTTTTATATTTAATATAATGGCCTAAAAAAACTTGTGGATGACATTCCTTTTTTCATATTCTTCAATTCAATTAAAATAAAAAAAAAAATATATTTTCGCTTTAACTAAATACAATATAAATAGTAAAATAAATTATTATTTTTTATTAAAAATAAATAAAATACATAAAATATAACACTATATAATTTTGAAGAGCTTTTAAAAGTCGTACAAATTAGTAATTAGTTTTTATATAAAATTATTGAAAGCAGGATGAAAAAAATGGCGTCACTTATTCATAATAATATTTAAAATAATTAATCATACTTAAAAACAAAAACGAAGTAAAATTGAATAAATAATTAAATAATAAAAATCTATTCTCCCATAAACAATAAATTAATAAATAATTAGGCTTATTCAAAGTATATCAAATCATTAAGTGATAATGATTCATATTTATCGTAAAAAATTCGATATTACATTATATTATAAACACAAACTAACTCATAAATATTGTAACGATTGCCCGGGCCTATCGAACTCTAAGAAATTTGTGCCTCCGCTGGAACTAGGGGGTGGACGAAAGCTGGTCATGCTTGGTCGTTCAGATTTAAGGCTATTGGTGAGGGTTTTCACTGGACACTGTCCCTCGATGGTCCATCCGAAAAGGATGGGCAGGGTGCGGAATGAAGTCTGCCGTTTATGCCTGTAAGAGGACGAAACCCTGAGTACTTATTGTGTGAGTGCAAGGCGGTTGTTTGCCTGGGACTGAGATGCTTCAAGGGAGGGGTCTTTGTAACCCCGGGGAGGATCTCACAATTTGATATGGCTGCTATACTGTAGCTTATCAGGGGGCTGGGTGGGATGCGGCTGCTATACTGCAGTTTGTCAACGTATGAAGGGCCTAAGGCTGGAAGGGGGAAACAATTCATATACGAATGATTCGCGTCTATTTAAGAATGTTTTTTTAAAATTACTAAATTAAAATTTTTTACTATTTCAGTGATTTAATATACTCAGAATAAGTTGCTATATTTTTCTTGGCCCATATACTTAAAACTAATAAATTTAACATAAAGTGAGATTGTGACATTTTCATTAAAAATTATAACATACGTCTATTTAACTAAATTATTACTAAACTAAAATACTTAATAATACTATTATTTAAGAGCTTTTAAACTATATAATTTTATTCTTAATAATTAATTAAAAAATTATATTTGTGCGCATGTGGCTTATTCTTTTTTTTTTTATTTAAATATTATAATAAATTTAATTAAACTATTTTAAACTAGTCAATTTATATATTGCTCTTTTATAATATATGATATAGTATTTTTATTAATTAAAAATAATATTTAAATAAAAAAAACAAAAGATAAATTTTAATATGTATTATGTGCCATTTTAGGAAAAAAGAGAAAAAAAAAATGCAGAGAGAGAGAATACGAGTATGTATTCGAAAATCAAAACGAATTATTAAAAATCAAAAATGAGAAATAACGCAAACTTATAATTTTAAATTCGAGAGATTATAATCAAAATTAGCATAGTATTCGTGCGTAATAATTCTTGTTATAATACTGTTACGTAACAGAGCTCTCTATATATTATAATATATACATTAATGCATTTTTATTAATAAATGAGTAATTATAATACATACCTACTTGCAAAAAATGTAAAAAAGACTGATTTTGCAGAATGTTTTCAATTAAAATAATAAAAGAAATTATTTTCGAAAAAATTTTATTATCTATACTGCGCATTAAATTAGCATACTGCGATGACATTTTTATATTATTTTTTTTTATATATTTTTTTTATTTATTTTAATAATGACTTCATTCTGTTAAATTTCTTATACATATATCGTTATATTATAAACTAAATGCACATATATACTTAAATATATATAATTATTTAATTTTATTTAAAAATAAATTTTTTAATTATAAATTAAACTTTTGAATACATTGAAAATTTAGAATTATAATATTTTATTTTGCGTTAAAATTGAGTAATTGAATTAAGCTTATCTTTTCTTATATAAAATTTTTTCAAGTATATTAATTAGTATTTCAGTTACTGAATATGTCAAGTTTCAGTTTTGCTCACCTTTATTTGCTCAGCAAAACTATTTTAAATACTAAATGTTTCGAATTAACGTTACATCTGTATATAAGCAGATCTCTCTGTGTTTTAATAAATTTTATTAAATTTTGATCAATATTTTATATTCAGATTAATTTTAAATGACCAATGGGTCAGATTATATCGCCATATAGTAAATGTTGCTTTTTCAGGTTTTCTATAAACATGGCCCAATTATCAGTAATATAATGAAATTGTTTTAAATAGCACAGTTAAATCAAGTGAACTGTTTTGCTTTTATAGAAAAATCAAAAATAATATATTGCATATCCATCACGAAAAGTTTTTGCAGTATTGCCATTATGAAAACTTAATGTTTTGCAGTATTTGCGTTTCAAAAACAATTTCATAAACGCAATACTGCAAAACATACGTTAAGCTGAAACAATAAAGTATATAATTATTATTTTTAATGTATTTTTATGTAATTTTTTTAATTTTAAATAAAAATGTACTTAAAAAACTCTGCACAAATAGACAATTATTAGAAAAAAAGTTAGAACTTTAAACAAAAAATAATTTATCTATATAAAATATCTTATACTATATTCTTTAATAATAGTTATATAACAATAAATTTAAAAAATATATATACAAAACACTTAACTTAGCTCTATTAATCAAATAATAACACAAAAAAAAAAAAAAGAAATAAAAACAAAACAATAATAATAAATACTCATAAAAACAAAAATAAAAAAAAAATAAAAAAATTGCAGTGAATTTCTTGTGCCATTAAAACTATTGACGCGTTTCTCGCGTATACAAACAATCTGATAGGTGGTTTGGATTGGGCGCGCAAATTTATATGTAATAAATGCTTACTTTGTTAAATTAATTATGCGTACTTTTTTTTCTTGTATAATAAATTATTTAATGTATTAAGTGTAATTAAAACTGAATGTATATAACAAAAAAACAATCATTAAAAAAAAATTTATTTTGAAATTTACTTTTTTTGGTTTTTCTTATTCTTTTGTTGCAAAAAGTAATTGGTGACATATGTTTTTTTTTTCCTGTGTCACAACATTAATAACGTTTAAATTTATGCCATGAAATGTCAATCAAATGAACAGAAATTTCCAAAATTATAATTAAAAAAAATAAGTGGCGCCTTAAAAGCAAATTTTAGGGGTGTAAACACAAATTTTCATTGTTAATTACTTTAATAAAAATATTTAATTGATTATACAAAAATCAAAAACTATCTCCGTTTGAATTCAATTCAATTACAAAATTTTGTAGGCTTTTTCATGTACTTGCATAGAAGATTACTTACTGTGGAAGGTTAACTTACAATTTTCAACTGATTGCTTAGTTGATTAAATTTTGACTTAAATTTACCTAAAGCTTATAATAAATATTAATGTGGGTAGTCTTGTCATTATTATGTCTAAAAATCTATTACCATAATAATCTGTTTTGCAGTAGTTTAACTTCATAAATTTGAAATATTTATTAAAAATTTTCGTTTGTTAATCATTTTAGTTTGTATAAGAAATTTTATAAGATTCGTATATACATGGCTTTCGAATAAGTCTCACAATTAATTGTTAATTTCCTAGTTTTTATCAAAAACTGCTCACTACAATCATCCTATTATAGTAATAAATGCCATCACTGTCTTCAAATTAAACATTAAAACGTCATGTTATTTACAAGACTTTTAATTTTTTCAAATTTTCGCATTAAATCGAAAGCATGAATGCAAAAAAAATTTCCCAAAAATATAATCAATATGGCAATATTGACAAAACAATATGACAATTTGTTAGTGACATATTAATTTCTGATTTAAAATGTGTCATCAATTTAAGTGTGAAAAAAGTAAATTTCGAATAATTTAATAAAATCAAATAATTTAATTCGAATAAATTTAAAAATATTCTTTAATTAAAATATCTTTTAATTCATAATTTTTTTTCTTAATTGAAGTGCAATATTTTTCTTTCAAAAACTGTAAATTATGACTTTTAAAAGCTATTAATTTTTTTTTTTGTAAATAAATTCATAATTAAATATTATATTAGAAAAATTATTAATATATATGTAGTGTATAAATTTAAATTAAACAAAGCGAAAGAGATTATACAAAATTTCATTTATAATTGAAAAAAGAAAAACGATACTCGAATTGAAAAAATTGGTACTTTTAGAAATGAGCGTGTTCATTGTTCAAATTTTTGTAAAATGTTGTGTGTGTATTTTGAATATATATATATATATTCTTATTTTATTAAGTGTTTCTTAATATTTAGAATACATTCATATTTTTATTATTTTTTTTTTTTTTATAAAATATTAATTACATTTCTTTTTAAAAACCAAAAAGGAAATCAAAATGATATTAAGAAAAGAGAGAGAAATCGCAAATATTTTGAATATTATTTCGTGAATTTTATTTGAATTTAATGTTTTTTATTATTGTGAATTTAATGTGTCTAAGAAATATTTTCTGATTGTAGGAATTTAAATATATATTTTTGACAATTAATTGACAATTACATTTCTTTGAAAAGGCAAAAAAAAAATTTTCGACAGTAAATGAATTCAATTTGGCCGGCGATATATGGGTGCGTAAGATTTTCTTAAAGAGCTTTCAAAATTTATACTTGTGAGGTAAGGGTTTTTTCTGAAAATACAATTCTTAAAGTTAGAACTGCAAAGCTTTAAAAACGGTACATTTAATTTGTACATTGAAACTTTTAAAACTTCGCAGTTCTAACATTAAGAACTCCATTTTCAAAAATACCATAACGCTGCATGTTTTGCATTGTATTCAACTGTCAAAGAATTAAAATATGCTCTTCATATCATGTTCGAAACATGATTCCTCGAATTGGCATGCAAAATTCTAAAGCCAAGAATTTTAATTTTTTTTTTTTAATATCATTTTGCATTTTTTTTGAAGAGAAATGTTTGCTTTATAAAAGAAACAAAACATATGCTATTTTTATTTTGGCATGGCTTTTTAAATTTTTCTATATATTTTGCAAATCATTAGCATATTGCATTTTTATTATCCATATACTCATGTAATATATATATATATATATATGTATATATTGTATATATATACATATATTTATATTTATATATATATATATATATTTATATATATATATAATATATATTTGTATATATATATATATATATATATATATATAATATATACATTTGTATATATATATATATATATATATATATATATATATATATATATATATATATATTATATATATAATTTATATATATATATACATATATATATAAATTATATATATGTAATTTATATATATATATAAAAAATATAATATATATATATATATATATATAATTATATATATGTACAAGCAAGGTACATACAATTGTGAACTATTTATCTTTTTTCTATAGTTACCGTTATGTTGAAATTTTTTATATTTTATATTCTATTTTGTTTTCTGTAATTTTTTTTATTTTATTTAATTTTTAAATTTTTTTATTCATTACTTTGTTTTTGGTATTTTATTTTATTTTAATTTTTTTTTTTTGAAATTAAATTGTTGAATGTTCGATTTTACAAAATATTAAAAATATTGATATATTAAGTAATACGAGTACAGTAATATAAAAACTTGAATATATATAATATATATACGTAGTTATATATATAAATTTTAAATGTGGTTTTCTGTAAAACAGAAACATTAATAACAAAAAAAATGAAACAAAGTTGAATTTAGAGTGTAGCATAATTAATTTTTTTTTTTTTTAAGTAAAAAAGCAATATTTTTTATATTAATAATTGAAAAAAATAAAAAAATGTTATATATATAGAAATGTTGTTGATTCGAATAAATTTCTTATTTTTTTTTTTTGTAGTTTTATATTTATTTTCATTATACATGTATAATTATTAAATTAATGACTAAAAAAACAAACAAAAACATAAGAAAAAAAAAATAATTTTTAATATTTAAGTTTAATTTTATTATGTTAAATTAAATCATATTTAGTTTTTAAGTAACGAGCTGAAAGAATGGATCTTCAAAATAACACAAAACAAAAACAAAGGTAGGACAATTCTTTGAAGTTTTTAAATTAATTTAAATTAAATATGGAAATTTAATTAATATTAAAAGAAGATAAAAAAAAAATGAAAAAAAAAAATAAAACAAAAAATAAACAAAATAAATAAATTTATATAAAAAAAATATAATTAATTAAAATAATTATGAAATATATAAAGAAAAAAAGAAATAGCAAAATTTTTTTTTAAATTATTCTAGAGCAAAATACAAAATTTTTAATTAAAAAAATTTTAATGGCGAATTTTTGACAATAGTGAATAATAATTTACACAATTGAAGAGCAACAATATAATTAATATTTTTAATGTATTATTAAAATCTCTTATACACGACTCTTGAGAAATTATTTCGTATAGTAAAATACTGAGTGGAATAATGCATAACATGTTTTTATTTGAGAGTGAGATTATTTTTGCTTTAAGGTGAGAACAGTGATAAATTTTTTTTTGTTGTAAAATTTACAATCAACTCTAAATTATATACATAATAGCAATTTTAAAATGAGAGAGATTAAAATACTGCCTCTATATTAATTACAAAAATTTGTATATTGAATTAAGGAGATTTTATTTTTTGCAAATTATGAATCTAGCTTATAACTTGAATTAATTTGGCTAAAATTTGAACTGTGATTAGTCTTGATATTTAGTTTGCTTGTTTAATTTTGATATTGTAATCAAAATTAGTCTTTGTAATTAAATGAAATGTTATTTTTATTGTGAAATGAGTATACAATTCGAGAATTGTAATTTTTTTTTTTACTTTAAATATTTTCGATTTTTTAACTCGTAATATAAGTTTTGTTATATCGTTAGAGTGGTTTTGTTGTGTCCTTAAGGGGGTTTTGTTGTATCATTAGGGGGGTTTTATTTAGTCATACGTTGCATTGACATTGAGTTCTATATTATTGAACTTACTAAATTTCGAAGGCGTTTAAACAGTTTGCAAAAACTCTAGCTAAGTTTTTTATATTTACGCAGTCTGCAAATTCTGAAACTTTTGATCGTAAGCGATATAAATTGTTATGAAAATTAAAATTTTAAAATTTTAAAATTTTTAAATAAAGAAAAAAGTATTCCCATGCTGCAGCAAAAGAACTTAATGTAAATGTCTACGGTACATTTTAGATATTTTTTTTTATTACAAAACGAGTTTTCGAACGCATTTAATCACAAAAAGATAATTTCCGAACGATCAACATAAATATTTTCTGTGCGCTACAAGTTAGAATTATTCTAGAACTAAATGAACGAAAACCCCTTAAAAGTTAGAATTATTCTAGAACTGAATTAACGAAAACCTATTACAAATTAGAATTTTTCTAGAATTAAATGAATGAAAACCCATTACAAGTTAGAATTATTCTAAAACTAAATGAACGAAAACTGATTATTTTTAAAATATTCATGATAGTTTTTTGAATGCTTATTATTGAAAGGTAAATTTATTGCCACAGTATTCGTGATTTACAATTTTCCTTCTTTAGGTTTATTAAGTTTAAGACTTGATTGCAGTTTACTACTCTTGTGTTTTATACTTACGCATTTCGAATTATGTTTGTATTTACAATTATGTTAAATTTAATGGTACAGGTTTTCATCTTATCCAAAATAATTTTTATATTGGTATAATTTAGTATTCTTGCATAATATACAAAATAAAGTGAAAATATAAAATTATTAAAAGATGATAAACTGTGCTACATGTTTTTTTATAAAACTATTTCAGTTTTTAACCTACTTAAACGAATACATTTTTTAATGCAATAATATTATCTGCTTTAAAGACCCACACATTGACCCTACTTACATACATTTACACGAACAAAAAAAAAAAGAGAAAATTGCTATATAATAAAAAAATTTCGGACATTTCAGACGCGTAAGAAAAATTTAAAATAAAAAAAACAATTTTGTGAAAAACAACAAAATTTAGACAAAAATTTCTGATGACAATTATTATTACTTACATTTCTTTAAAGTTTGTGTGCCTGTATACTGTTACAAATAACATAATATGAAATTGTGAATGTAACAATGAAAATGGCGCCCTCTAATCCTCCTACGACATCGTAATATTAACAACATATAAATGTGTAGAGAAAAAAATTTTTTTTTAAAGTGAATTTACGCATATGCGATGATGTTTTACGGTGATGAGCACATATTTTATTGTACAAGAAAAAACAAAAAAAGAGTGAAATTCATCTATCTTAAGAGTTTTATGTGGCTTTGTGTCTCTTATTTTCTTTTCCATGTTAAATTGAATCATTTACAACCGCCTCGGCAAAAATAGCAAAAATAAATTTTTTTTGTGTTTTAGTTTTAGTGGGTATACTTAAAAAATATCGGTGATAAAAGCAACAAAATGTTAAGGTGAAACAGTTTTCAACAACTTCTTTTTAAAATTTGAAATTAGTTCGTTACTTTTAGTCATTTTAGTCTTTAGCTGATTATATTGCTATTCTTCATACGAGTATTACTAATTTCTATTGTGAATTTTTTCTTATAAATTTCGTTTAAATTTTAAATGTAAATTTTTTCATTATAATTCAAAACCTACTTAAAAATTAGTGTTTCAGAGCAGTTTTGAGAGCAGTTTGTTTCTGTTTTAAAATTTTTCATTAATTTTGCTATGCTTACGTCATTTTTGCCTTTTTCTCTTTATTTCTGTTTTTTTTATTTTTAAAATGTAACTATTGTTGTTGTCACATGGCGCTGGCGTTGCTCTTATTTTATAGATCACAAACCAACAATATTTAAGTAATGTAAACAACAAATTTAACATTTATTGCTGTAGTTTATTGTATTTTTTGCATTTTTTTTTGTGGTTTTATTAGTTTGCGATCTGTAAACTTGTATCAATTTGCTAGAAAACATAAACTTCTTGTTGCATTTATTTTTCAAATTTTTTTCTTTTTGTTGTAGTTTTTTTTTTTTGTACCTAGGTTAACATGATCGTGAAATTGTAATGGATATAGAAGAAAAATTAAATAAAAAAATAATAAGAAAATTCATTTTTTTACATATAAATTTTATTAAATAGTAATTTATTATATAAATGATTAATAATGAGTTAGAATGTCTAACACAATCTGATGAGGGAGTTGCCATATTGCAGTAACAAATTAATAAGTTTTCATTGTTCATTCTCGAAAATTTAGGTCCCTTTTCTATATCATTTGAGATATGTTATAGGTATCAATATAATCTGAAATATAAAAACGAAAAATTTAATTGAAGTTATTTATAAAAACAAAATTTGTAATAATAATTATAACAGTTATAAAAATATGAGTGAATAATGGTGTAAATAGTTTTCAATTAATAAAAAAATAATTTATTTTTACCGACAACCGGTACATAAAAAATTATTTTTTATTAGCATTTTTCAAAAAATTTTTGAAAAAAAGTGGTTATTAATTTCACTCTGTCCGTCGGTCCGTCTGTCCGTCCGTCCGTGGACATGTTTACAAAATTTCTCCTCCCTCCCCCTCTGGAAGTTATACCTCGCCAAAACCATAAAAATGCCATTTTTTAACTATTTATTGCAGTGCAACCATAAGCATTTTTCAAATTTTGTAAACGCAGAAAGGCAGTAGTTTGCTTCTCTTACCGTAGCATATTGTAGCTAAACTTTAAAAAAACAAAATCGGCCATTCAAATTTACCGTTATCTAAAATCCGTTTTTTCTAAATTTTTGGTGTCGTTTTTCTTCTAGGCCACAGGTTAGGGGAGCCCGAAACTTTAACAGTTCTTAAACACTAACAAATATTTTATTTCGTTAGAAGAAAATTTTTTTCCATCCCCGCTCCCTCTCAAGTTATCGTCTCTTGAAATTTGTAAATTTATATTTCCGAAACTGCAAGCTTTTTCATATTTCTATAAATGAAGAAACCTAACGGTAAATTGCATGACATTAAAAAATATAATTATTTTTCTTAACTCATGCAATTGACCATTAAAATCGAGCATTATGTTAAGCCCTCAAAGTGTTAATGTAATTCAAAAACTATGCAGTCTTTGAATTACATTAACATCTTACACATAATCTTTCATCCTAAATATATGCAATACTAGAAATAGTTTCTTATATGAATAAAAATAATTTTAGTAGTGTGGTAGGTATACATGGACTGTATTGAAAAGTAGTATTTCCACTTGCTGAAGGGAAAAGTGCTACAATATAAACCATTGGTTTGACCCAACTTTATTATCTTATAATTTAGAATGTCAGCTTAAGGTAAAATCAGTTAAATGATATGTGTGATTTTTCGACTTTTTATACTACGAACACACCTATAAAATTACTGCTATCAATTGTTTTTGATCATCTGATCGCAAAAATTATAGATAATATATCAAAAAAAAATATTTTTTTTTTTTCATTGTTGCATTAAAAATCTAATATTTCTTTCCGTTCTACAATCATAACAACGAATTTTATGACAATTTTTATTATTTTTACTTGTTTTATATTATTTATAATTTATATAATTTATAATTTTGTAATATCATGTTATACGATAATTTTGATAATTTCTTTAATGTTGGCGTTTTAATTCTGCTACTCTAATACACGAATTATCTACCTATTCGAAGTCAAGAAAAGAGGGCAAGAATACAAACAAATTGTTGACCAACAACTTTTTTTTTTTTTTGAGATTTATAATGTAGAACGTCATTGCCATGGCATTGAAATTTATGAAAAGAGCGAGAATAGAAAATTACGGTATGATTTTATATTTGCATATTAATATTTTTTTATTATACTCTTTTAGAACAACTTATACTGTTGTTGGTTTTTTTGTGTTGGCGGCGGCATTTAACACTATAATTTAGAATGCGCTACGATCACCACAAACAATCAATCAGTATAAAATACTTAATAATGTACAATTTGTATGTAAATAGGTATATACAATTTTTTATGCTTGCAAGTATGTAATGACATATACATATATAAAGAATGAAATAAAGAAACAAAATTGTGTTTTCAAACAAAATTTTTTGTTTTGTTCTATTCTATATACAGTTAATTTATTATTTTAGTTAACTGTTATTTTTCTTATTTTGGTAAATGTTAAAAAAAAAATCGATTCTATATCATTAAAAATGGCATGACACTATCATGTCATTGTTATTATTATCATTTTAGAAAATCATTCACATTTTTAGTTTTTATACACATACATACAGTACATAATATGAATTTCAACTGAATTGAATGACAGTAATATTATTATTGTGTAGTTTTCAATTTAATTCAAATTTAAAGTGAAATCTTGTCAATTTTGTAATAAGAAATACAAATATACCGCGTACGTATATGCTTACATTTTTGTATATGACAATTAAATTGGCATGTAGGTTAAATATAATGGACATTATAAGAGAAGATTTGCATGCAACAAATTTTATTGCAAGCAATTGTAGTATCCAACATACACATGAACATAATATATAATGTACAGCGTAAATTTGTATTGTGGAAGTGGGTACTACACCTTACATGTAAATACATATATACATATATGTATACATATTTAATAGGTATATATTTATTAAAGTTTTTAAAGTTCATTCAGAGCGATCATTTTCGATAGGGTTGTTTCAAAAATAATTAAATTCATAGGTTATACATTCTATATGCATATTAACCCAAACACATATGAAAACATACATACATATATCGTTGTGGTGAAAAGGGAGAACCGGAGGTATAGGGTTAAAGAGGGTATATAAAACAAATAAGATTATTGAATGCTTATATAAATTGTACTTCTCTTTTAAAGATCATGAATGAAAAATTAATTATTTTTATATGACAGCAATATTAAAGTGTATATTACGCATTTACATACCTATACATTTCATACAACAAACATTTGCATGAACATATTCGTTGATTAATTTAATGTCATCATACAGTTTTGTGATTATAAAGCATTCACATTTTGTTTTTATACGATTTTAAATTAAAAGAAAAGAAAAAGAATTATGAATGGGCGGAATTAGTTAGAATAATGATGATGATGATGGTGGTGGCGGTAGTTGGCACGAGTTATGCTCTTTTTAAGAAACTATAAATGATTTCTTTTTTTTTTTTTGCCTCTTGTTTTATTTGAAAACTTTTAAGCGTTTTTAATTTTTATTATTGCGCGATTATAATGTTGTTCCAGTGTTTAAATTATATTTAATAAAAAAAAAATTTTCCTTTATTTGTTAACAATAGAAAAATGTGTGTGGTGATAAGTATCTATAAATATACTTATATAACTATTACGTATTTATAAGTATAGTCATTGTATTTAATTGAGCATAAATATGAGGAGTTTTGCTGTTCTTTTAGTATCTATGTCAATAATTTTGAGAGGTTTCTGTCTAAGATATCGCGATTAAATAATTCAAATTTTTTCTCATTCTTCTAGCTGTATTGAGAAATGTCATATATTAAATGTGATTCATATAAGAAGTAATTAATAAAATTATTGCATTGACATTAAATCATTCTCTCTCTAATGTGTCTATCCACTTCTGGATGTTAGCGGTCATATATCGTTAGAGATTGCTGTTGTTGTTATATTCTTGCAACGATGTTATTGTACTCTTCACGGTTCGTCGCCACATGCATTAAGTCGCCTATGTTTGAAATGCCAGTCCAATTGGGCTTTTATATTACAAAATATACTTTTGTATTTTTTTTAAAAGAAGTGTTGTAAGAAATTTTCGTTTTAATGTTCAAAATAGTTAAAATATCTTAAAATTCTCTTAAAGAATTGCTTTCAACCACTCAAGTTATTTATTTGATTTTGTGACATATTTTTGCTTATTTTTACACTGTCACATTTCAATTTTGTCCTTTCTATCTTGAGTCTTAAACACTTTCTATTAAAATGCATAATATAATGAATCACTTACGTTCGACCGCCACATTTTATTTACTTGACTTAATTATTCTCTTTATTTCCGTATTATCTCTTTTTGAGCTTAATTTTGACATTTAGAGTGAAGACATTTCGAATGACTCACAAGAGTTTGAGTGTTATTGTATTTGATTTTTTTTTTTTTAATTTTTTTTGTAACATAAATTTTATTTTTTCATTTACTAGAAATGAAATAAATTTTGATATTAAACTTTATTAGATCAACATTTCTTAATTAGACCACGGTTTCTATTTTGAATTATACTCTCTTGTGTCTAGAACAGAACACCAAAATTTCATATTATAAAATGTTTTAACTTATAATACAGTTATTGAGCTACTGGTTATAATGTTGAAGCTTAGAGGCGGAAAATTCAATCATACTTGAGAAAGCACTACCGTGGTAAGAGCAAAAAAATTCATAGGCCCTCTGACGGCAAGTTAAAATTTGTATTTTTCATTTTTACATCTTTAGTGCGATAATTACAGATAAAAAATAAATAATATGAAAGTTTAAAATTTCTAGTTCCCCATTTTTTTTTTATGAATGAACTCACATTACAATTGCTTTAAAAAAAAAATTTAATTCAAGAAAAAACCGCAAAAAATAATTGAATGGACCAAGAAATGATTTTAATTTCATTTTAAAACCACAAATGCATAAATTTTTATTCGTATTACATTTTAATAATGTGTGTTGAATGTAGGTAACGAACAAAAAAAAACAAAAAGAAGAAAAAAATTGCGATCACGATTCAGGTAGTGTGCTGTTTGATTGTAGGTATTAGTGTCACTGATGCTAATGTCATTTGACTGTAATGTGACAATGACAAGATCACTGCAGATGAAAAAAAAAAAAATTGGCTTTTTTTTTTATGTTTTTTATTTTTTTTTTACTTTGTTCAACTTAATTTTTTTCTTTATTACACATTACTAATAATAAATAAAAATAAAATTAATAAAAGCTTAGGAGGAGGCCTGGTGGCTTTAAAAAATATTTTTAAACTTGTTTCTTTTTTTTTTTTTTTAAATTGTTCGCCTACATTAACGTAATGAGTATAAAAAAAATCGTTTTTTTTTTTTTTTTTTGTTAATTTCGACTAAATGCAAGGCGATCGTGAAGTTTACGAGTATAAAAAAGAAAAGTGAGAAAAAGCTAAAAATGAGAAGTTTGAAAAAGAAAAAAATTGTGTGTGGGTAGGTTTTCGTATTTTAGACGTAAAGAATTTAGAAATTCCAAGATTATAAGTTTGTTGCTTTTATTTTTGCAGTAATGTGGTAATGT